AACCTGCGATTTTAAAATTAAACAAATCAAATAAAACATGAAATACTAAAAATACGGTGTTTTAAAAAAAATATATTAGGAACATATCAAACTATTAGAATTTTAAAAGTGGAACATTTTTTTTCTGTAAAGCAGTAAACAATAGACATGTTAATGCATTCACTGCCATCTGCCACGTATTTAATACATAATATGAAACAATTATTAAAATCACCAAATATCAGCCATGAAACAAAAGCACAGTTCATTTTCCTAAGCGTATACAGATTGCGAAACCACGCTGCTGATCCTCGAAAATTCTTGCTTCCGCAAACATGAGACAGGTAAAATGGAAAGTGTCATTATTGCACTGGGTTAACATCACCGTAGTCTTCAACCACGACGGGGTCAGACTCATTGGGTGTGTGGGCTCAGGTAGATTCTTTATACTGAGTCTGAAAGAGGTACATTCAAAGTCGTTCCTTCTCCTTACATGTGTTTTTGTTTATATGCTCAGATGCTTGCTGCTGTGAGCGTACTAGGGTACCGTCGTTGTATTTAAATTGGCTATTTTGGGAGAGCTAGCATGTAGAATGAGGAGGTTTTTAAACACTGGAGCGTTAGTTCACTGCCGCGAAGGAGAACTGAATCTCCTGTGCTTGTGGTCATCCGCAATGGCAGAGATGACATCACAGCGATACCTTTTATTAATATTAGCAACATGACTTGTTTAGTGCTATGAATAATGAACTTCGTAAACTAACTCTGTTTTACAAAAAATCTAACGTTTATCATTAAAATATGCAGCAGAAATATTTTTGAGCTTTATTTAACTCTTAATAATTTTACATTGCTAAAAGAGAAAATTCTTTTAAAAATTTTGACACGTTGTAAGTTAATCAAAAAAATGTGAAAAAAAATTCACTTGGTACTTGGATACAACGCACTGGCTACTCAGCATTAATTCGAGAGATGCGCGTGCACCGCCGAGTGTCTAATAATGACGTTTTTTTTCTAATCGAAAACTATTTGGTTCATAAGTCTGACTCATAATTACTGTACACACTGACGAATTTTAAAACTTGCACATCATAGAAAGACAAACAAAAAAATTAGAACTGAGTTTCTGCAAAACAGTGGTACAGCTCGGCTGCCTGTCTGTTAAGAGCAGAAAGTTCAAAAAATACGTGCTGGCGGTGCCCTAACTTCCAGCAAAAACGAATGATCACGGTCGAATACTAAAGTACTCATGTAGGTACTCACTGACCTCGGGGTGGGGATTCCAGTTTCGACGAAGAGTCGGCATCGTTTACTTCAGCTATAACGTTCAAGGTGTTCGGAGTCCGGGGCATTCGCAGCACGGTGGGAAGAGCGATGTGGTTTTGCTGCAGCAAAAGACGGTACATCTGCAGTTCGTACTCCTGGTTTACACAATAGTCCCGCAGTTTACACACTTCCCTTTCGAGGGCCGTCCTCATTCGCTCCTCTTTCACCATTTTGCGATCGAATTCTTGCTTGACAGAAGAAACCATGTCTGAAACAGAAAACAGCGCTTAGAAAATGGAGCTCATGTACGACATCCGATGGTGAAATGAAACAACACACATTCTAGCAGTCTTAGTTCTAGTACAGAACGAACTGCCAGATCAAACGAACTGTTTTCATTTGGAAAATCAAAGCAGTGCATCACCGTGCATAAACTACATGGATACCGAGAGAAGACAAACAAAATGTTAAATTGGAAAATACGGGAGAAAACCGATGTTACAACTGACCTTTGCCAACGCTAGGCTGTACCATTCATCAGGATTACGGTCTTTATTCACAAATGACTAGTATGTGATCCAGGTTAGACTTAATACGTACTTAAGAAGAAACTGTAAGGTCTATGTACTCTACTTAAATCCAACTACCGGGGCAGCTCAGGTCCTCAAGTCACCCAAGGGCAAGCAGAGGCGAAGAATATCGAGAGAGGAAAAAGGAAAGTTAGTAACCGTCACAATGTCGGTCATCCCCATTATTTGACCGGCTATTTTTGGCGCACATGAGTTCCTTATTTTACAAACATAGCAAACAGCAGTCATGTGGCAAGAATATTGTGCTGCCTATTGCCTCCCTCCCACAGAGTGGTACTTTTCCACCTCGGAAGGAAGAAAGGCAAGTGACCCTCATCAGGTTCCGAACCCGGGATATATCGATTCTGAATCCAACGCTTTAATAACTGAGCAACCTTGACGTGAAGTAGCGTTTAGTAAATTCCTTGCTCAAAGGGATTAGTGGTGAAGACAAGGACTGCCGTCGGAATCGAACTTGGTACATCCGGAGTTAGAGGCTATTGAAGTTACTTTGTATGCACGATACCATCAAACCACAATATCGAGGGAATGATTACATCGATTAAGAAAAAACTAGTCGTTCTATTATTATGATAATGAGGGCTATACATGATTATAACTACGACTTTGATGATGTTGACGATAATGCTGACCACTGAGACAAATGATTGTAGTTATCTGATAAAGTACTGTTCATACCATTATCATAATTATCAACATCGGTTTTATCGTCTTCAAAAACGATGGATCATGAATATTTTGTCTTCAATATGCACTAAGTCTTTTATTATACACTATAGTCCTAGTGCTTTTCACAAACAAAAGCAATTTCTTACAATTGAAAATACGGGAGATCCTCCACAGCCGGAAAGCGATCAGCAGTCCGGCACTGTTGACGGACCGGTCGCAGCCACCGATGGTCAAACTGAGAGAAAAGCACAGCAATACGATAAAAAAATCGACGACGTCCATGCGGTGTTTGAACGTGGTCATTCCATAAGTGACCACTTTGAAAGCCAATTCCACGATAAATACACACAGAATGGTCAGATTCATGTAGTACAAGATACAGGCCACCAGTCGGTCCTGTTCACCAAGGTTCAGCACCTTTAGATGCAACATCATTTCCGCAATAATAAGAAAACAGTTGAAAATCACCAAGGAAACAACCAACACCTAAACGACAAAAAAACAGTTTTAACACTATGTCATCTAGGAAGTCAATTTATCTAGCAAAAAACTTTAATTTTAGACAACTGGAGGTCAGAGAAGTAAAGATGAGAGATGAGTTATAGAAAATCTGGAAAGACAATGCAAAATCGAGGTAGGAAGCCATGGGAAGTTTGGTTGTAAGACAAAATGATACAGACTTTTTAAAGGGTAAAACAAAGGGACTGGGCTAAACTTTTCTAGAACAAATGGGAAGCCCTGCGGAAGTATCCGTCAGATCAAAGGAAACAACTGAGAGGCAACCCCGTGTAATGTCCACGACGAGAGCAGCGATAACTCGGGGTTATGCGATCTAAATCACAAACATTTTGGAAATGAAAAATATCTTATTCATACCCCCTAGTTTTGGAGGGTGACATACTCTTTCACTGCAAAGAGAAGGAGAACTACTTCCTTTATCTCCGTTAGCAGTGGGTAGCAAAAACTAACAGGACGAATCATAATTCTAT